CTTCTTCAGTGATGATAGCAGAATGACAGCAATGGGGGCAGAAAATGCCAAGAATCACAATGTCTTTAGACTACTTATAAACAGTATCTTAAGTATTACAACTTTTTCCAGTGACTAACATATTAACATACGACTAGAGTAACATAGCAATAATGACATTCTTTTCATAAATCAAACCAGAAAACAAAAGCAGTTTGTGACCAAGTTGGAAGGACGACTCAAAAGTTCTTGGAAGAAGCAAATAAAGTAGTGACTTTTATCCTATTTCCAAAGCCTTCAAGAAACATCATTTCATGGGATAACGGATCATCCTTGTTCTGATGTGTATAATGACTATTTGCAAAAAGATTAACGTGAAGATAATTACAGCTCATTAGGCAATAATTATTGTAGAATGTTAGAAAGTAAGGAAATTCTACAAAGAACTTCGTAAGATCCTCCAAATTATATGAATATATATTTGAATATTCAGTGACTTGAATACAAAGACAAACATAAGAGTGGGCAGTTAAACAGTGTTCAGGCTGCTAAATGGTACAGTGAATAGAGTGCCAGTCCTGGATTCAGGAAGACTTGAGTTCAAATTTGATCTTTGACACCTACTAGCTGTGTGACTCCAGACAAGCTACTCAATCCTGGTTTGCCTCAGTTTCCTCATTCATAAAATAGGGATAATAATAGCATCTCTGTCCCTGCATTGTTTTGAAGATCAAGTGAAATAATAATAAAGTGCTTAGATACTGCCTGGTACACTGTAAGTATTATATAAAAGTTACTATTTTATCATTATTATTGTTACTATTATTAAAATTTGACTGACTAAGAAATCAAAGAGAAAAGGTGCTTGTAAAGTCTTAGATCTATCTACATTATGAATGTGTAGTAGCAGTAATAGTAGTAACAGCTAACATGTAATGATTTAAAGTTTGCAAAATGATTTAAATAATTTTACAACAACCTTACAAAAACCATTTTACAGGACAAGAAACTGAGGCATACAAAGGTTAAATCATTCATCCAGGTTCACACAGCTATTAATTGTCTAACATTTTAACCCAGATCTCCCTGATTCAAAGCCCAACATACTATTCTTTATGCCACTTAGTTGCTTCTCTAGAGGGTCAAAACCATTGGACATGAAGAGCAACAAATCACACACACACACACACACATACACATACATACACAAATTGTCTATATCTTAACAGACAAGAAAAAAACTGATTTCCATATGGGAGTTCTTTCTGCATCTGTATACAATGAAGCCAAAGACCATAGGAAATTAATATTAATAGAAAGAACAAAAACAAGAGGATATGAATTCCATTGTAGCAAGCTCAACATGATTTACTGATATAAGGAAAAAATGGAAATGGTGAAAAGAAGGATCAATGGTATAGACTATTACCATTGCCTAAGGGAGTTTACCAATGCAAATTAATCAATAAAAAGAAGAGATCAAAAGATCCTAGAAACCACCTCAATCAGCAAACATTTGTCTCCTTGCCAGGGACAAAGCAGCTAAGGGTAATACCAGTTTAGAATGTAAACTCATTTGCCAAATCTTACAGAGAATGATATGGAATATTTTGAGTACTTTCATCACACAAAATAGAAATCATAGAAGAAAAAGTAAGTATACAGAAAGCTTGATGACAAACATAATTAATCTTAATGCTCTAGCTTGCTCTTAGGAGTCACCTAAGCAGGAATGTGCTGAAGCCAAGTCGTACCAGCTGGGAGAGTCAATTGTTAAATTTTCCACACATGCAATTATACCTCAGAAGTTGACAAATACTATAAATCAGAGATTGTTATATTGTTTTGTTAATTGCCTACACTTGGGAAATTGATGGGGAAAATTTTTAATAATGCAGGTTAAACTTGAAGTGTGTTGCTCATACATTTGTTTTTTCAGAGAGTCAATTGTGAAACATTTACCAGCATACCATTGCTCCTAGGAAACAGAAGGTATCTATCCACAGATTCTGGACTATCCATTAACTCAGGCTTAGTACTGAAAGACAGTAGGTTTGTAGTTAATTATAATCAACTCTGGCATCTACAATTTAAGAATGGTCAAAGTAGAAATGATAAGCCTATTTGGCCAGTGATGAAACTCATTTATAATGTGTCAGGGAGAATGGAAAAAATGGTTGCCCATTCTGGCAGATCATACCAACTGTTGGAGTGCATGTAATGTGCACAATGCAACACATTACAACATATGTATTTGGTGTTGCATAGAATACATTTTATTATGCAAAATGCTACGGTGATTATATTATGCTTCATTTATTGAGTGAACCAATTAATTGCCCCAACCCACCTCAGGTAGATGACAAGATAGTATGTTTCATGTCTTGGTTGAGAGCGAGCCAATCAGAGACATCTCTATTGAATCGAACAATCAATCCCTAGGCTTTAGACTAAGTGCAACAAGTTCTTGATTAATTTACAAGTCTTTGAAATCCACCAGATGAATTGGAGTGGCACCATACAAGAAATGTGTTCAACCTGGTTGAGGGACTTAGTCATACCTATGAGGATTTTATAAAACTAGTGAGCTAATGTGATCGAGGATTTGAGCCTCTGGTGCCTGAGAGTGTAAGTCTTCCCAGCTAAGCCCCTGCGAAGAAACTTCTTGAGAGGAGAAGGGCCCTGGCTCCAGCTTTAGTCTACCTTAGTCTCCTCCCTTCTTGCCTTGAACAGAGGATGAATTTATATAATTGTAATCATAGGGTGGAAAGTACACAATTAAAGGCTCATGAACTATAGTATTAAAAAAGACACCCTTAATCCCTCAAGGCTTCCCTTAGAAACTTGAATGGGAGAGACAGCAATGCTCTGGGAAACCAATCTGCCAATATAACTGTGATCTTGGAGAGTAGCTCTAGAGCATGAGCTATATGTATATTCTATGCTGTTATATAACTCAGTATACATGTATGGATAATGGCTATATTATTGCTATATCTCTGCTAAGTATTAGGTGCTTTGTGAAATAAGTTTTGATATAAATATACAATACATATTATTATTACTAATTATAGAACCTTTAGTCAGTGTTGGATGGGGGTATTAAGTGAGCCTCAGATAGCTAAATAACTAAAGACCAGTTAGAGCAGATACAATATCTTGCAAAAAGTGGCAGATCAGAGCAGCTAGGTGGCGCAATGGATAGAACACCAGCCCTGAAGTCAGGAGGACCTGAGTTCAAATTCAGTCTCAGACCAAACACTTGATACTAGCTGTGTGACTGTGAGCAAGTCACTTAACCCCATTTGCCTAAAAAAACAAAACAAAACAAAAAGCGGCAGATGATACACAATGAAAAACAGCTGAGAATAATACAGTGGGGAAAAAACACTGGCTCAGGAGTCAGAGAACCTGGGTTCAAATTTTGTCTTTAATGCATACTGCTTGGATAACCTTTAGAATGTCATTTATCTGTGCCTCAGTTTCCTCATTTGCAAAAATAGTGGTTTGGTCTAGATGGCCTCAGAGATCCCTTCTAGCCACAGAACTATGACCTTAAAAACGACAAATGTCTTGCAGGGAATGGTCAAGAGCAACTCCTGGACCAAAGCAGGTCTAACAAAATGCACAATGATATCTGTCACCAAAAGATTTCAAGCTTCTTTGAGGGTTGAACACATGAGTTGTGCCTCAGTGGATGTACTCTAGTTAAATGTATTAAGTCATAGGATCATAGATTTAGAAGCAACCATAGAAGCCATCAGATTAAACCCCTTCATGTTATAGATGAGGAAACTGCGGCTCAGAGAAGTTAAGTGATTTGCCTTTAACAGGTAGTAAATGCCTGATACAGTGTTTAAACTCAGGGCTTCCCTGACTCAAAGCCTTAGGACTCTATCCAAATCTGTTCCAAATGTCTGCCTCCAGCTGTCTCTCATCTTTATGTGAGTACTTGGGTTGAATGTATACACTGCATGAATGGTCTCCCATAAGGGTGTATATGTATATGTATGGGAAATGAGAATCAAATTTCTAGGGCTATCAACATTAGCATACCTTCTTAGGAATGGAATTTCGGTTTCTGAGAATCAAATCCTTGCTTCTTGGATTATATCATTTCCCTTAGTTCTCCATCATATGGATGCTCCCCTACCAATTATATCAGGACAACTGAGGCAAGAAAGATTAGTTTAATGAAAAAAAAGTCCAAACTTCCTGATTGCGCAATTTGTTATGGAAAAGAACCATACAGAGAAATGGGATTGCCACAGAAAGATGTATCTTGCAGATCATCTTCTCATGTATGGGCTATGGAACCAGGCAGGAAACCATCCCTAATCACCTAGACTAAAAGTCTAGAGCTTATGGGAAGTCTGTTGAGAAATGGAATATTGACAAATACCAGTCTTTGAGGAATGACAAAAGATTATGATAACAAAAATCCCAATAGTTTAATGTTAGAAAATAAATGCTAGTACAAAGTCAGAGACAGAGTTGAATTCTGTTATATCTGAATGCGAGATGCAATTGAGGGGTAAATGTGAATTGTTTAGGAAGAAGATAATGTCCATGGAATTGGCTTCTGGGCAAACATGTGCAGCAAATGTAATTGGGGAACGTTTTCCACAAAGCTGGATATGTTTTTTGGCTCCTCTCTGAAATAAATGTGCCTTACCAGGATTGCACAGAAATTTCTGAGCAGTCCTCATGGCTTGGGGTGGAGGAAGAAGAGTTGGCTTACAGAGAAATAGGTATGCAATATTGGAAAAGACAGACTCTCTTATCCAATAATGTCCCTCCTTGGTAGCCTATAAGATTATAGCTACAGTCTTCAATGTCTCTCCTTTTGGACCTTCCTGTCAGCACATACACTTTCTCTCCCTTGAATTTCAGGCAAGAAAATCCCTGGAATACCTGTCAATGACAATGGAACTATCATATTTAACTCCAACGTCATAGTTTCTAATATACCACAGAGGAGATAGGAATAGCACTAAAGAAAACAAAGATGTCTAAAGTACCTGGACCAGGCAAATCCACATTCCAGTCCTGTTGAGGCTGATTCTTCAAGGAGAAATCTCCCAGGACACCTCCTGAGTGTACTGGCCTTTGAAAAGATAGTAGACTATGATCATCTCTTTAACCCAGATTTTTTGTTAGTACTTTAATGAAAAATAAAATGGCAAAGTGCTGACCACTTTAAAATAATTTATTTTAAATTATCTTAGGTGTTGTGTTCAAGGATTTTTTTTAAAAAGAATCTTTGCAAAAAAAATGGGTAACAGTGGAAGTACTATAGGACTGAAAATTTTAAAATGTCATAATTTTTATCTTAAAAAAAGAAAGGGCTAGATTCAACAAACTGGTGACTTTGGCTTATATTTCTGGCAAGATACTTGAATATATTATCAAAGGAGTGGTTTGTGAGCACCTGGAAGTAGAAGTAGAGACATCATGGGTTCATCAAAAAATAAGTCATCCCAGACTAACTTCAGTTTATTTTTTTTTGGGGGGTGGTCAGAGGTTGGGAGTTTTGTGGGCTTTGTATGCTTATTTATATACATTATAGTGAATAAAGAGCCCGGCTCAGAGGTAGAATAGATTCAAGTCTAGTCTCTTATAAAGAACTGAATAAATCACTTTTCCTCTCAGTGCCTCAGAAATTCTCTAGGATTATAAGTTGTAAAATAGCATGTCCTTCAACATAGCCCATATTTATTCTGAGAATTTCTCTAAAATAAAGCTTAAGTATGAGTCATATCCAGGGTCATTTTACAAAATGAATATCAAGTATCTTATAGGGTTACAAAGGAAAAAATATACTGAAATGAATTTTTTTTAAACCAAGTTCATGGACCCCAGCTTAAGAAGACTTGCTCTAAGAGTACAAGTTGAAGAACTGGTACTGATCTGTATTTGTGGAAGCACTTTCCTCACCTGGAGGAGAATAGTCACAGCCAAAATACTGCACAGGCAACCCACAAAGTTTTATTTTTTGTTTTGTTTTTTAAGTAAACTCCACAAGAAGGCTTCCTTTCCTTTCTATTGTCTAGATTCTCTGTGGGGAATTTATAGCAGCTTGTTCATGGTAGAACACACCTACAGTCCCTGTTCTTGAAAGGTAGGGAGGGTGGAAGAGGAGCCTGAGGCTGATGAAATCAAGAGTTGGGCTAAATAAAGATGATCGGGTGTCCACACTAAGTACAGCACCAATGATGGGCCCCCATGAGGAGGGAACCACTGGGCTACCTAAGGAAGGGCAAACCAGTACAGGTGGGAAACAGCAGGTCAAAGCTTTCATACCAATCAGCAGTTGGATCATGGCTTTTAAGTGATCCCTAAATTTCCTGCCTGGGCAAGGTAGAAAGAAAAGAAGAAAGAAATAAAGAATGGTAAGCATATGTAGAGAACATGAACAAGGATTGCAAAGGATGAAAAGTCTTGGATGGGGTCATAACCTAGAGAGACAGAGGTGGTAACCACATTGACGAGATTATGGATCCATTAATATGCTTCAGTATAAAAAATTTATGAGCAGTAAAGGATATTTCTTTACTCTTTAATCAAGCCATTTGCCCAATAAAGATAGTCATTTCAAGTCCTAAAAACTAAAGACATTAATTAAAAGCTACTTTCAATTTTTACCAGTGAATCTATCAAAAAATTAAAGAAAAAGAAAGAGAACATTTTAAAATGGAACTGATTTTTCTGCTCCTGATGAAGAATATAGGGGGGAAAATTTCAAATGTGGTCATTCCAAGTATCATCCTAAGCATCTTTAAAAAGTACATCATTTATTAATGAGGACCTACATGTCCTCAAAGCTGATCATAGGGATCCAGGTCATCCTAACTCTATAGCCTTGCCTAATCTTTGAGATTGAAATCCGTAATTTGCCACTTAATTTAGCAACCATTGGGCCAATTCAGGCATTTTCTGTTCATGGGACTTATTGGTACAGAGCACTATGCTACTCGCCAAAAAGAGATAAACACACACAAATAAGATATAACCCCTGCAATCAGGGTACTTACAACAAATAAGAAAGGAAAGGCATTGCTATGAAAGGACAGCTGGACTAAAAAGATATGGTCAGGTTGTAGTCCAGTTTCTGTCACTCCCTAGTATGTGGTTCTAGGAAATTGTTTCAAAGGAACATAAAACACTTAGATATTTTTATTTTGGAGATGATAATACTGAGAGGAGAAAAGGTTAAGTGATTATCTCACCATCACATAGGTAATTGATAGGAGTAGAATCCCTAAATTCATGACTCCGTAACCAGGGTTCTTTACACTATGCCATACTTCCTTATTCAAAGGCCTCAGTTCCTTTGTTGAACTACAACATCTAAAAGGTTCCTTCTTTCCAGCTCTAACACTGCGTGATTCTGTTAGGGAGATCAGGCATGTGCCCAAGTAACCACAATATAAAATAAAAATGGTAATGAATATGAGAGAGAACAGTAATGTGAGAGTTCAAAGGAAGAAAAGATTAATTCCAATAGGGTGGATCAGAGATGGCTTCCTGAAGGACCCAAACTTGAAGGTTAAGTAGGATTTTAACAGCAAGGGATAGCAGCCCCAGGTGTGATTGAGCTAGCTCCAAAGGCCTGAGAGTAGGTTGCTAAATTTCCCATGTAAGCATTTACACTTTGGAAATTGACAAATACTACAAATAAGGGCTGTTTTATTGTTTTGTTGATTGTTTAGGCTTAAGAAAATCATGAGAAAATGTTAATAATGCAGATTAAACTTTAAAATGTACTTTTTGTCTTTTCTTGGAGAGTCAGTTATTAAACATTTACCCCTACAACTCTGCCTTTGGGCCTATTTCCTCATCTATAAAATGAAGGGTATTAGGCTAGCTCATCTCTAGAGCTCCTTCTAGCTCCAATATTCTGAAATTTTATGGCAATTAGATTCAATCCTAAGATATATTAAACACTATAGCACAAAATATGTAGTGTGAATAACGAATTTTTCAAATGATTATAGATATGATTTTTTCAGGTGTTACTGTAGTCATAGCTTTTTTGTCATTATTTATCAAAAATACAACTCCTATAATATGGGGGGTCTGAAAATTTTTTTTTATTAAAAAGGGGTTATCATAATTGAAAATGTTAGGAACCACTGATTTAAGTTTTTAAAAATTTCTGAGTTTGGGGTTTTGTTTTTTTTTAGAAAATGTTATTGTAGCCCAGGTTAGAACTAAATCCCTAACTTTCCTCCAGTCTCTCTGTTTCCCTGTTTTTGTCTCTTCTGTAGCTCTCTGTTTCTGTCTCTGTGTCCCTCTCTGTCTCTATCTCTCTTTCTGTGTCTCTGTCTGTCTATCTCTGTGTCTCTGTCCTCTTTCTCTCTGGCTCTCTGTCTTTTTTTTCTCTCTGTCTCTGGCTCTCTGGCTCTCTGACTCTCTCTCTCTCTCTCTCTCTCTCTCTCTCTCTCCCCCCCCTTTCCTCCATCTTCATCCTCCCATGCAGCTGACTTGATTGTTCTACCTACACCTACTTGAACACATAGGCACCTTTCCACAGAGGAGCAGTCATACAGCTACTGCTCTCTGAGAATCTTAAGAGTAACTCTTGAGTGACTGTCCCAAGTAGATAAAGAACCTTCATCAATAGAGAACAAATCAGCCACTAATAGTCCATCTTATCTAAAATGTTTACTGAAAATGCAAATCAAACAATTTTTTTTCATAACATCCCACCTATAAACCTCAGTTACACTCTCAGTGTACACAGTGTCTGTGGGAAGTGTTCAAAGGTTAAAATCTTAGGGGAGTGAATCACACATGTAGGGAACACATGTGGGTCAGGGCAAATCATACCTGGAAATGTAGATCTCAATGTTTTCATTGTCTCAGAAACTGTCCATAGAAGTTCCTTGCTGAGAATTGCTTCTGTGTTAAACAGATGCTCCCTCTTCTGAGCTGAGTTGATCCACACTGTATTTGACTACTAGGTCACTGGACACAATGTTTCAGCTGGATGAGTCAGTACTCTGGAGGCTTCTCTGATTCTTTGCTTCCAAGCCCTTCCTCTGTCCAGCTAGACATAGTCCTCTACAGCTTCTGTAGTTTATCTCACCTCTAGCTTCAGGTTTAGAAGATGACTGCACCTGACGCAACAATTTTTATATTAAAATTGGCAAAACCTTCTCCAAATCAGCTTTTTGGTAGGATCCTCCTTCACCTTTTAGTGACAATAAATGGCAAAGCAGAGAAGTATCTTTGGCCTTCTCTTACCTTCTGTTCTTCTTAGCAGCAAATCATAAAACAGAGCAAAGTATATTGTCTCCATTCATCATTCTTTTTAGCAGTAAATCATAAAAGAAAGCGGATTGCAACCTCTCTATCCTTTCTGCTTCTTATTAGCAGCAGGCGATAATAGAAAGCACACCAGCCTCTCACTGGCCAACCATTTACCTGGCAGCAAGGGATAACATAGATAAAGTTCAAGTCTCCCTTTGACACAGTGCTAAAATCTGCTCTTTTATCCCTTTCCTTTTTCTTCAATCATCAAGTAAAGTGTCCCTGATCTCGAGAAGCTCATATTCTAATAGGAGGAACCAACACAAAGAAGAGGTTTAAGCTTCAAGTTGTGCAGAAAGGACTCATGCTCTTCATGGTGCAACAGGAAAACAGATGGTAATGTATCTTCTTTAACATTATTTCCACTGATAAGATCATATATTTTTATGATATTGAACTACTTTATTGTGCCAAGGACTTTGGTGGTAAGAATTTCTTTGGGGGGCCTTTAGTAGCTGGGGCTACTGGGAAGGAGATGCTGCAGCAGCTGCAGAGGAAGTTTGGCAGGTGACATATCCATAAGAGTCGATGCCCTGGAAGATGGCTGCACATCTGCGCTGTCAACAAGACCAGTGGTAGGGGGTCATGGGGCACTACTGACAAGGCTCTTAGGCTTATGTGCCCACTGATGGCCATTAGTAGTTAGTGATGGTGTTGAGAATAATAGCAGGTCCATTCTCCACAAAAGTTGCCCCCACTCAATAATTGCTTCTGGGTTATAGGATGGTAGAAATGCTCTTTTATTAATTTATTCAGACATCTGTACTAAAAATGGTGAAAAACCTTCCTTCTTAATTCATTGTAACAGTGTAGTTGGGGACTGAGTACTGCTACTATTCCCAGGGTTCTTTTAACGATGAATTTTTGTAACTGGGCAAGTATCAAAAATAGTGGTGGGAGCCAGTGGCAAGAAGAGTACCTTTAGTTGGGAGGATACTACCTGGAAAGGAGGAGACAAAAATGCTGAGACACCAGGGCAAGGCAGGGACTATGGAGGAAGATATGTAGTAGAGCAACATGGGGGAGGAGCATTCATCTGGTAGCTTTCTACTTTAACTAATTATTTCCGTTAACTAGGTGCTAGGCTCTTTTGTTTCTATATTGCAGAAGGCCTGCAAATCCTCAATGTCTCAATGGGGTTAATATAGTGGATGGAGCACTGGACTTTGAGCCAGGAAGACTTGGGTTCATGTCTTGCATCTGGTAATAGCTTTATGATTCTGGATGAGGCTACTTACCTTCTCTGAGCCTCAGTTTCCTCATCTGTAAAATGAGGGGGTCGGATTAAATGAACTCTAGGGTCTCTTCCAGCACTAAAACTATGATCCTAGCAAAATCTTTGAATTCAGCAAAAGCCTTTGACACACGTTGCCCAAGCTATGCTCTGCGTGTTGAGAAACACTGGGTACTTCCTCTCTGAGTCTGAGTGAAAGGGGAAGATAAAAGTTGCTCAGTACTTGGCATGCTTTCTTCACCATCACCTACAGCTACTTAGTGCAAAAAGTTCCTAGTATGGTGGTGTTTTGCCCTCAAGTTTGGGGAAGCTTCATCCAGAATCAGAGCAATCAAGAAGCCGATGTGGAGAATTCCCCTTGAGCCCCCAAAATAGGACCTATGGTCATTTCCTTCATAATCCTATTCTGAGGCAGTGTCTCTGGGGTTCTTACAGATCCAACAGTTGTGTGTATAGGAGAGCACCTATCAGCTAGCTGTACCACTTTGGGCAAATCACTTAATCTCTCAGTGCTTTGGTTCTCTTATCTGTAAAAGAAGAGTTTTGGATTTGATGCTTTCTAGCTCTGACATCTGGTTACTCTCTGTGATTCTGATGTAGTATATACTCTGAGATTATCCTGACTCCCACTTAAATGACTCAAAATAATGAGTCAGATCCCAAGAGCCTGACTATATCCTCCCAGGGTTGTGGGGTGGAGCTGGAAGGAGTTATTAGTCTACAGAAGCCCCAACCAGTATGCTTCCTACCATGACTGTCCATTTAGTCAGCCAGACTAATCTCCCTTTTAGAAAGGAATATTTACCAAGGTGGTACAGTCAGAACCAATTGTTATACAACATCCCCAAGAAAGTCTGTGACACACTCTCTCACCAGGATACCCAAAGTCCAGGATAAAGACGGCTCAAGCTTAGAACACAACATGGAAAAGCAGTACTTCATAACTCCTGAGCTTCTTTTGCTGGAATCCCCAAGATATTCTTAGGTTAGGTGTGGGTGTGACTTTTCTGCTGGGTTCTTTTTAAAGGCTTGATTTCTGTACAATCCGACCTTAGTGCCCAACACAAATCTTACTATGAGATGATCCAAGTGTGGTATTGGGATGGCAATGGGAAGATGTGAAGTCCTCTGGACCTCCAAAGTTGACAAGGTCCTTCTCTGGTCAAGGGAGTAGGGGAGGAGATTGAGTCTATGGACTCTGCTCCTCCCCCCCCAAAAAAATAAATTCCTGCTCTAGGGATTTAGCTGGAATGCTCTTTTCACTACACTTTTTGCTCAAGTCTCTTAAATTATGAACCAGCACCTACTAGCTTCCTGGCTTCTTTAGCCAATCTGAGCACTCTTCCTCTCCACTCCAATTGAACAAGCACTTTTTTTTTTAGTCTAAGATTGGTTGGTTGTTTGAGATTAAAGCCTATAATTGAGATTGATTGATTGTTCTCACCTCATAAAAGACAGGGGCATAGCATTTTATCCCTTATTTTAAATGAGGTAGAATGATTTAATTAATTTATTCAATTTATCCCTGCCCTTACACTGACATGCTAAGAATCTGAAAAGATTCCTTCCACCCCATAAATGAGGGTATGGTAATCATCTATCCTACGAAATACTTATACCAGCCTCCCACTCTTAGAAAGAGAAAGAAAATAGGACAACTCACATTTAGGAATATAGGCATAGACCTGGAATGGATTTAGAGGCCATCAAGTCCAATCCCCTCATTTTACATGTGACGAAACTGAGGCCAAGAGAACTTAAGTGATTTGCCCATAGTCACACAGATACTTAAAGTCTGAGGCAGGATCTGAGCTCAGTTATTCCTAGCTCCAAGCCCAGTGCTCTATCCACTGTACTTGAGTCTACAATCCAAACCTGGTCACCTATTCAACAATTGTCTATTGCTATTTTACCTGTACCAATAAAATACCAATTCCTATACCAATAAGGTAATAAACCTATCAAATTATCATAAAAATAATGGCTTTTCCATAAAGTAATTAGTGACTGTTTCCCTAACCTGGAATAACTTACAAAAAGTAGAGCTGGAACTTGATAAGTAAATAAGGCAAGTGAAGCAATAATAAGTCACTAACCCCAGGGCCTTATCCTTTCAACCTCTTGAACACACATACAAACAGATCAGGTGACATGCAGAGGGGTTACAGTTAGCTAAAATTTCCTGGTTCACAGCCATGAAGCTTCCTAAATTATGCATCCTTCAGCATTCACAGTCCTAATGAATAGAGGTCATTTCATCATATTTTTGCCTTTTTAACCACATTTTATTTAATATTATTAAATATGTATGTATGTATATAATATATATGTAATCATTCCTTTAATAGTAAACAAGTCTTCTTAAGAGAGTTTCTACTTCCCATAAAGTGTAAACATGGGTGTTATTTTTTAAAAGAAGAATGCAGTGGAAAGTATTCAAGTAGCAGTATTCTGTAGCTGACTCAAGGAATCAAGCTTCTTTCACTAAAGGACAGGATGAATTGTATGTTTTCCAGACCATGCCCAAAAATATTTGGTTACTATACTGCCTCTGTCATTCATCAACTTACTGCCAGAACACAGGGGCAACACATATTTGGCCATTATAATCACTGCTCAAGCAAAAATGAGCAAGTTACTTAAAAAAAAATTAGTTGGAGGCAGGTAGGTGGCAGGAGTACCTGAGTTCAAATCCAGCCTCAGCCACATAACACTTACTAGCTGTGTGACCCTGGGCAAGTCACTTAACCCCAATTGCCTTGCCAAAAAAAAAAATTCATTGACAATGATTTCATCAAAAACCTAGAAGTCAAAAAACATTTGCCAGTCAATAAACATTTAAGTGCCTACTATGTGCCATGTACTGTGCTAATAGCTGGCATCATGTTTTCTCAGCAGACTCTTCTTAATCTATTTATATTATACATGTGAGCAGAAAATTTAGAGTAAGATATTCATCTGTCTGTCATCATCATTTTTATGATAATTTTGGTAGGTTTATTATTTTATTGGTATAGGAATTGGTATTTTATTGGTATAGGTAAAGTTGCCTGTTGTTCTACAGGTTTAAGTGACTTGCTCAGGGTCACAAAGCTAGTGTGTTTCAGAAGCCAGTCTTGAACTGAGTCTTTCTAATTTCAAAGCCAGCCCTCTAACACTATGCTGATACCACTCTATTTCCCCTCCACCATATGAAGAGAGAAAAGATAAAATAAGCTGAGCATTTGCCTATGTACTTGACCATAAATCAGAGGACTTCTCCTTGTAGACTTGGCAGGCATTGAATCACTGAGTCAGTTATCAATTTCAACTGAAAAAAAAAAACAAACAAATCACTCATTCTGGCCACAAGAACTAATTGGATAGAAATAAAACCAGATCTTCACTCAGTTGTTAATATTTCCTATTGCTAACCATTTTGAAATATTCTTCTGATGATCTTTCAAAGAATACATGATATTGCAATAATCAGAAATGTCTAGTTCCAGAACAGAATCCTCCTAAAAATCTCTCTCCAACTTTCCAACTAGTGGGTTCTATCAAGTTCTCATTATTAACTAGATCAAAAGTCT